CTCACCAGTATTTTAAAGGCCTCTGGGACATTATCCAGGATTCGAACGCGAGCTAAGGGATTCTGCAGCCAGCATTGTTAACCGCTGATCAGGGAGGCTTCCCAATTTGTAGCTCACTTGCTTTTGATTTCTAGATGTTGCATGCTTTCTGCATTTAAATTCAGCATATATACAGTTATATGCAAAATTAAGATAATTTGCAAATTATATCTATTTTTACGATAAGTATTGAACCAAAGGGTACTTACTTATTATGGCGTCGAAGAATTATGCAAACACCTGCCTGTGAATCTGTGGTTGTAGAGGGAATATAAGCTCACGTAGTGTTTTCGGCGATTTGTGCGCTTGTACTAAATTTACAACATTCGCCGTACTTTTCGCAAGAGTCGGTAAATTTTATAAAGTATCGGATAAAATGAGTAGCCACGAAAATATGGATGTGTTGTAGAATTGTCATTAGACTGCAGGCAGGCCAGTCACAAGCGCAGGTGGCTGCAGAGCTCAATCTTTAACGCCCAGTGTCATTTTTGATTTATGGAAACAGTTTCAGGACACTGGTTCCATAGCGAGAAGACGTGAACAACATCGCCCAGATCCCCAATGATGAATGGGAATCGTTATTTGGCATTTTCAGCGCGGCGACATAGTACTGCTACAGCTTCACAGCTCTCACATGAACTGTATGCTGCATCTGGAGCACGAGTTTAAAGGTCTATTGTTGCTCGAAGGCTTCACAGCTCTCACATGAACTGTATGCTGCATCTGGAACACGAGTTTAAAGGTCTATTTGGTTGCTCGAGGGCTTCACAGCTCTCACATGAACTGTATGCTGCATCTGGAACACGAATTTAAAGGTCTATTGTTGCTCGAAGGCTTCACAGCTCTCACATGAACTGTATGCTGCATCTGGAACACGAGTTTAAAGGTCTATTGTTGCTCGAAGGCTTCACAGCTCCCACATGAACTGTATGCTGCATCTGGAGCACGAGTTTAAAGGTCTGTGTTGCTCGAAGGTTTCATGAGTTAGATCTGTATGCCTGAGGACCCGTTGTTTTAGTCCAGCTCGCTGCAGCACACAAGAAAGCGCGTTTAGCATGGTGTAGATAATATGCGCTTTTGCCCAAACTTCAGTGGAGCACCATGTGATTTACAGATGAATCGAGATTCGGCATGGACACTTGATTCTGGGCGTACCTACATCTGAAGAGAGCCTGGACACGATACAATCCCTTCCTCACCCGAGAAAAGCATCATCAGGTGGCGGTATAATAGTTTGAGCAGGCTTTATGTTCGACAGTCTCACATCCCTGCATGTGTTCGACAAAGTCTTCCAGACTTCTATGAGATAGTGATAGGAGATAGTCGGAGCGCTATGTTCGACGTTCAGGGGCGTAGTTTGTCCTGGGCTCCTGTGAATGGATGTCAACATAGGGCTCATCCACATAGGGTCAGCAAGCTGATGATTACTTGAAAAGTGAGGATATTCGCCAGATGAATTAGCGAGCCAGATCTCCTGACCTTAACCCTAAAGAGCATGTCTGGGACGCCCTAGGGAGGGCAATGTCATCTCACCGTCTCCATCCGAGAACCGTCCCGGAGTTGAGAACTGCCTTTCTATAGAAGTAAGATCGACTGCCACGGGGACTCCTCAACTGCTTCCTGTCCACCACGCTATCATGCAGCATAATTTGTCTGGCTGTGAGACGACCATACCCCATTTTCAGTTCGATATTACAACGTAGATTTTGGACATCCCTGCACTATGGGGTTATGCGTACGTAGAATGACTTTTGAACAGTACATATCTTTCTCTTATACAAGTATATATTCATACCAAAGTTCATAAAAATCTGTCCATTAGTTTTTCAGAATCGACGTCATGTGCAAATTCTCTTAATTTTGCACACGAGTGTACATGAATGTAGAAAATTTCGTCTTTTGCCAGAGCCAGCGTGAGAAGTATACACTGATGTGACAAACCATACATAAAGCTTTTCCATCCGCCTTGCGAAAGTACAACTTCCTATGAAACCTTTCTTAAATAGAAAAATGTCGAAATGCAAAGAAGGAATTATCATTAACTTGGAGAAAAGTTTCTATTTTGCTCTGATTGTTGCCAAAGGCTTGAAATACGACAATATGCAGTCAGATAGTAAGCAATCAATCTTGCAGAACTTACCATAAAACTACATGATCTTCCAGTAATTAAGTTATAATTTTATGCAATCATTGCATAAAGCAAACGATGATTCATATTTTCTCTATTCAGTTTTTCCCTAAAAATGCAAATCCTTTCCGAATTTCTTTCGGCAGCGAAAAAGGTGCTAATATAGGTTTCCATGAAAGCAAAGTGACTTAAAGCGAAACTTCATAAAGCAGAAGAAACATGCAATTATATCAACGATCTGAACTCAAAGGCAGTTTTGGGGAAAACTGTTAATGTGAAACGCGAATTCTTATATCAGATATAGCATCTAGTTCGTCTCTATATTTGGATTTTGTAGCAGCGTAATGTGAAAAACCTGCCTAGCACAAATATGTTGCCACAAAAAGAAGTAAAATATTGTTAACCAGACAACAGGGGCTCCATTACCTAGCTGAGATGATCATGTCTGCCTTATACGGATTAAAGCCCCTGCCTCCAGAAGCTATTTATTATCACTAAGCAAAATAAGTTTACAGTGGCATACAAGGCCTTCAAGAACACAAGGACATAAGTAACATAGTTATTAATAAACCCTAAAGAAAGCATGTTACAAGTAGTACCTATAGCATTCAAACAATAAACCGAGTATTTTGACCGATAAACCGATCTTTCATAATTTGTATTGCAAATACGAAATACTTTCAAAACTGAGTCCAACTAATTTAAATAAAAAACTATGGTACAAACAAACAAAATATAATATATCCATTACTGTATTATATACAATTAATTTCAATTAAATTCACAATATCAAGAAGAACCATTCAATTTAGAAAAAAATGCGTAAAGGTAAACTAAGACAATAATAAACTGCCAAATAAAATTTCTTCATATGAATTCAGAATTAAGAACCAATAAACTTTGATAACTGAACAATATTATCATAAAATACACTGAACCTGAGATATTACTACAATACAAAACATAAATTTGGTTTAAAAACAAAACCACTCCAAGTAATATAAAAACTCTACATCAGGTTTGCTGGAAACGCGATAGAAATACAGTACAAGAATAATACCAACATAAAGATATGAAAAAAAATTTCAAATGCAAAAACCAAATGCATTCAAAAATAATTCAAAGAAAATTATTATAAAATACTGCCTTAAATGCAAATTTTACAAGAGAGAACTCGAGTAAAAGCAATCAAATTCACAAAAACAGGTCAACTATTCAATTCAGAAAAGTGCAAAAAGGTATACAAAATAATTATTCTAGATTAGGTTTACTGGCATCGCTAAGGCAAATGCAAACAAAATATTCATGATGTATACATGATTAAGAACGATTTCAGTACCATACAACAAATACTATGTGCGTCACAAATAAAACCGACTATTTGTACAATATAGAAAGTAATAGGCTACAAGTAACCGTTACAATTTATAAGAGCATAGATGCATTCAATGTCAGATAACGTCTGTTCTCGTAAAACCCATTTCTAATTTAAAATCAGTAACATAAGAATGGAAAAAACCAAACTGAACAATAATAAGCATCCAGGACAATAAGTTAAACAATTACCATTATGCAGTAAAAATCTAATGCAGTAAAAAAAAAAAAAAAAAAAAAAAATCTAACAGTCGCTGAAAGTCAATTACTCACTTCCAATAGAGATGATCTGAGAGAATTATTTACAGAAAAATTTAACTCCTGACAGAAAATCATAATTGTCTTAAATTTCTTACTCTCACTAGAGTTTTTTAGTATCAGAATATATTCTTCTGACAAACTAATCCAAAAGTGGAGCAGTGGTCGAGAAGTGAAGTGGTCGAGACTGTACATGGCTGATCATTTTTACAATTGTATTTAAAATACTTCTTAAATGCGTATACTTTTTTTTCCTTTTCGATAATCTGTATGCGAATCACGGTGAATTTTTGTTGAATTTTGCGCATCATAAACCCTTCACCTTCTTGCCCACAATTGCTTGTGGACAATCTGTACAAATGTTCGTACACTTTTTCTAATCAAGTTTGCTTTTATAAATAAAATTATTAATGCTGTTAAATATATCTTCTCCAGGTGCTCTTTGTTGGAGACGTTTGCGAAAGAATAAATCATTTTCAATGTTTTCATTAGATACATAACAACAAATTCCAGTAAAGCAGACAGGCTTACTACATATAGTGGCTAATTTACTTGTAAATTAATGTGTTAATGATAATTCATGGCAAAATTAACAATTAGCGCTAGGAAACTGACCCCCCCCCCAAAAAAAAGGACGAAAATTTTTACTTTTAATCCTAGCTAGCAAAGAAGGGAGTCAAACTTCAGATAAAATTTAAAAGCTTTTTACAAGTAGAAAAGTTACTGCAAAATTAAAAAGCGAAATTTGGCTTTTGTTGGTATATCTCCATCGTTGCAAGGATACTGCAGTATTTTTTTTTTAAATAATAGTAAATTTAAAAATATAAAAAGTTACTCGTATTAGTTAATATCGATAAAAATTAATATATTTACGTAACAATTTCAAAAAGAATATTAAAAAAAATTCCAAAGAAAACTAGTAACTGTTTAAGTACTAAAGTGGCACTGACGTACTTCTGTTTGTGGAACAGTGTTTCTGCGGTACACAATTTGGAAAAACTGATTTAAACAATGCATTTAATGTAGCGGGTATCTTAAAGAGCAGAAAAAATTCTTAATTGTACCGGCATCTGACATGTAACAATTGACAGCAGTATCTCGTATTAATGCCTTGTCATTCAATAAAAGCAATTTTAAAACTCGGAAGTTCTTTACGGTTTGCGGCTGATATTTTTTAATAATTTATTTATATTTCAGAGTCCGATGCGGCGGTGTGCAGAAGGAAGATGACAAAGAGGGTCACGGGGCAGATGCCCCTGCTTCACATATGGGTCGTGGCGTCGCTCGCTCTCGCCTCAGGAGGGGTTCGAAGGGACCAAGGAGTGCCAGATACTCAGGCTCACGTAGGACGCATCTTCAGGTATAAGCTGCCGGCGGACGCTTTCGAAGGATCTGTGCAGCGATACGAAGTAAGATAACTGTGTTATGTTTGCATGGCCAGTCTCTGGCTAAATCTGTTACTAAATTCGGAAAAACCATAGCATTGGATTAGATTCTGTAAACAACGATAAAAAAGAATTAATACACTTTTCAGAACTCTTCGAGGTTGATGTCATTATTAAACACATATATTATATATAAGCTTGGATTTTCCTAAGATGCCTTAAAAACTAATTCGGAAAGCCAGTAGGAGCTAATTGGCTGTTGCTGATTGTAGCAAAAGCACATTATTTTAGTTCTGTCATATTTAGAGAGATTCATCGAGGTTCTTCTGCAATTCGTCATTTAAAAAGGTACTGGTTCATCTTAAGTTTATAACAATTATATAGTGTCAAGAAAATTTCAAGTGAACATATTTCATCCAAAGTACTTTTGTTGACTATGGTGCTTAGCAAACGGTGCAATATGGTGCGTAGCAAACGCTGGTTACTACGCTATTAAATCAGATTCTGGTCGCAGATTACACAAGGATATTTGCGTTTAAACATTCCTGCTTTGGAGTATAATATAAGTCTGTTTCGTGCCGTGCATTCAGGGTAACATCTCCAATGATGAGAAGAAGGAAAGCTAACTTTGTCCAGAAAGTTGACAAAGTTAGCTTTAAAGTTGACAAAGTTAGCTTGGACAAAGGTAACTTTGTCCAAGCTATGAAGAATGCCTTTTCAGATGATGCCACTCAACGTAAAAAATTCATTCCCTATTTAGCCACACACTGAGTATAGTTCAGATCTATGCTCAGTGTATACTCTAAAGACTCGATCTGAGCATAGTTCAGTCCCTAGAGTATGTATTTACGATTGATTGCAAAGATCGGCAATTCGTATATCACCACCTTTGAACAATAAATAATTCCAGCTGAACAATTTATCACTCACGGCAGCTCCAGATCATAGCGATTACAAGCCTCAGTACCGCAACCAGCCTAGTGAGCTTCCTTAGCAGTGACCCAGACATGAAGAGACGTACGTACAAATACATCTTTCAGTACAAATACAGTTTCACGAAAATTGTTAATTACGTATACGCTTTAATAAGAGACAGGTAGTTGAATGCGCATGGCAGGTTCACATCGAGCATCTCGCTAAGAATTGAATTCCTGACTGGGAAACGTTCTTCCTTACATCCAAAATATGCTAAGTAAAGTGACATTTTCTGTCACTATTTAATAAAATTTTAATCTATTAATATTTAAAATATTAGTTGCTTAAAGGATACGGACAGCCACTGCCAAAAATAATGCTTCGTTAAACCCAGGAAATTCTGTTTTGCAAGCTACATGGGCTAACTAAGATGGAAGCATGTGGGGAAAGTTTGATTACTTTTATGGTTGAAAAAACGCAAGCCTTTTTCTTTGCAACCGAATCAAAATGGTTTATTCATTTAATTATGGTAAAGCTCGCGAGGGCTATCTGCCTAAGGGAAGGGATACCTTCGCGAAAGACTTTCTAAGGGAAATTGGCTCGTATACGCGTTACACATTAGGAAATCCACGAAAACGCCCATGCAATCAACCCTTTTGCATGGATTTGAAACCTGGACCGAACTACCAGTGTTCGAAGATTTTACCGCTCGGCCGCTTATTCAAGGCGACCTTCTAGCCTCCAGTCATCCAAAATGTAACATCATAAAAGATATCCAATAGATCTCAAATTTCTCGTCGGAAAAACGGCTGTCATTCGAGCAAGTTTGAGTTAAAGGCGGCTTAAGGGAACTGAGGATTATCTTCCGGATAATCAATGCTCATATTGGGCGAAATCAAATTACAGCGATGCGAATATGGAATCGATGGCTGCAGAAGATATGTACTTACAGATGGGAAAGACTGCAGCAACCTCGTTACGCATCTAGCGAGAGGGTAGGTACGTTATGAGCATGGAAGTGGCATATCACACAGCAACATCGAGAACCCTAGAACAACAAGAATCAAGATCTGTTGCACAACAACTTGTGCCAGCATGTACCATTCGATGTTGTCTGCTGGGATGGAAATCGTTGAAAAGCATCAATTGCTATGGTTACAGTTAACTATACGCTACACTAGTATGCGGCTGCAGTGGTGTGTTGAATTTCGGGCATATATTAACCAATGGCACAATGTTATCTTTTCAGATGAATTTCAGTTCTGCATGCAACCATAGCTGAATTCCTTTTCAGATGACTCCCGAGTTTGCCTATACGCTATAATTTTGCATTATGCATTACCACGCTGGTCGTTACCTGATTTGGGGGATGCAACTAAATTATTCTTTCGCACTCATCTAATACACATCGGCAACAATATTGTTTTGGCAGTACATATGCAAAAATTGAAACGATGCAGAGAATATTAGCATGGCTGCTGCGCAAGGATGACACATCGACAACAAATTCAATAGCCACGGCTACATCTCTCAAGTTTTTAAGCTTGTTGCTTTGTAGAGACATTAGGATATATTTGGAAGCAGACAAGATGAAAAATGAGCAAACGCCTTCGCCGGGAATCGAACCATGGACCTCTGGAATGGCCCAGCGTGCAGAACCACTACACCACGAAGGCACGCTAGGAAGGCGGGAGAAAGAGGCCTTCCCTTAACCCCAAAAGTTGCCTGCGGCTACGTTTCTTCAAGACAACATGCGACGGCGCTTGGTACGCACCGTGCAACATTTTTTCATGGCAACTAGGTCGCACTGATGTCTTGGCTTCTGCGTTCTCTCGATATGTAACTCACAAAATTCCTCTACTCGATGATTGGCAAGCGATATATATGAGAATTATGTGGCCTGTATACACTAGCTGCGACCATACCGGATTGAACTTTGGCAACCATCGAAAGAGCATAGACTCACCCCGAACACATATACAAAAAACCTCTCTCTTTCAGTGCTGAGGCGTGTCGTAGCTGTTATTGTCAGCCACGGCAGCTAAGCACAATACTGAGTTCGCTTAGTTAGGTGCACTTAGTTTGCTGTCACAATCTTAGCTAGCATGTTAGTAAAAACATAGAGAATACCAGAGGATTCGTAGAACCATTGGCAGGTAAACCTCTCTGTTTCAGTGCTGAGACGTGTCATAGCTGTTGCTGTCAGCCATGGCAGCTAAGCAAAATACTGGCTTCGCTTAGTTAAATGTACTTAGCTCGCTACCACAATCTTAACTAGCATGTTTGTAAAAACATAAAGGATACCAGGAGATTTGTGTAGCCATTGGCAGGTGATCAACTGTATTGTCTAAGAAACTGAACGCTCTCGATATAATATGAGCGACGAACTGTTTTGTTTTTTCAAGTAGAGACACTTCTTGAGAAGTCACATCATCTACGATATAACTTCTCAATACTATACTTCTTAATCTACGATATAACTTCTATCATCACGATATAACTTCTCAACGCGTGATCCTGCGCACCCAAATCGTCTGTGTATTTAGTGTCAGCATTTGGATCCTAATGTTATAAAGTATTTCTCCCGTCGTCTTAGTATGCCTTCTTGGTGTAATGGCCAGCAACCTCAGCACGCATAAGATAAGATAACTTTGGGCTTCCCTGCTCCGAGAACTAATCTCACTGCAGGTCCACTTCTCCTTTGGGCACATCGTGGAAGTTCAACCTCCACTATTACCCTCCAAGAGAGCAGCGCACCTCCTGGATAAGACACCAGGCAGCACCGGTCGTCTAATGCTCCTACCAGTCGCTTGGGCGAGCCCGTCGCAGCGGGACATTACCCAGTGACCCCGGGGGAGACCCCCGGGTTACTAGAACCACGCCGCGCTAGGACGTGCCAGACTCCGAGGCCGGCCAATAAGTGACCTTTCCCAGAGCCTTCAGAACCACCAAGTTCATAAATTTTATACCCCCGTGGCCGAGACTGCCTAGGTACAGATCCTAGCCAGTAGCTTCGCAGAGTTCTCTACGTCGACCCCCGGTGGGGGGAACCTCAGCACGTATAGAGAGATCCGAGGTTCGAGTCCCGGTGAGGGGTTGCACATTTTTCATTCTCCTGCTGCCAAATTATAATAATGTCTCTACAATGTTGTGTTGAACTTTACAATAAAATCATCTCTTCATATAAGAGTTAAAAATCCGCCTTTTTATTCTTAAAACTTACTCAAAAAATAAGCAAATTATACGTTTGATAATGTTTATGTTCATACTGCTTCTCCTGCATTTGATAATGCTCACTATTAAATAAATAAAGCGCAGGAAATAATAGTAATAATTATGTTTCTTTTCACCTGCAGGTGACAGAAGCCGGTGAAAGCCATCTTCCATCCTGGTTACAATTTGATCCCAAACAGGCAGTTTTCGAAGGCGTTCCAGGATCAGCGGATGTGGGGCAGCTCTATATATGCATCAAAGCTATCGGTAAAAATTGTCTCTTCTTACTTTGCTATAACTACTAGTATGTATGTATTTATTAGCACCGTACATTTGTACAGAACCTTACTTCAACTCTAAATCATGTCTTCATGTAGATAGTCAGGCGATTTATAACCCCGTCTTAAACTTCTTGCGAAATAACGCCGAACTCAGAAGGAAATTTAAAATAAACCCTTCTTGTTATAACTTAACAGCTTATAGGCTGCTTATTGTGTAGAATTTAAATCAGAGTCCTTCAGACTTATTAGACAGATAAGCGAGTTATCGCTTCTTCTGAATTATAACAAAGTCCTTAATAAGGTTTAAGTAACTTTTTTTAACCTTTAATAAGACGAAGAATACTGGCTTCGCTTAGTTAAATGTACTTAGCTCGCTACTATTTTTAAGAAGGTTTAACCTTCCAGCACGCGCGTATGCGCAAAATTTATGACAAATTGAGTTTTTCATGCACATTTTTTGCATCTCGAAGCTGAGACATCTGAATGTCATTTCTATTCCTCCTTTCTACCCTTCCCCACATCATAGAATGTGCCAACAGGAAGTCATTTGACTTTTTTTTTTTTTTAACTGGGCATTGTGCTACGTGGCAGCTTTTTCGTAAAAGTTACGACACGCGTGTGTTCGTGGGTGAACATTCGGAAAATATTTTTTTTTCATCAAATATTTTGAAATTTTGTGTTATTAATTGCCGTGTATTATTTTAATTAATACATTTGGCTCTGTAAATTTTATATCGGTTTTCATGGCAAAAAAATATGTGCAACCAGCTGATTTTGCTCGCATTCTTCAAGAATTATCTGATGAAGAAAAGGAAGACAAGGAAACCTTTGGATGGGAGAACAATAGCGATTTCCATTCATTATTTTTCTTTTATTTCTATTTTTTATAAATAAATAAAAATATTAAAGTTAGTTTAAAGTGCGTTTTCGTAACCAGTAAGAAGTAAATTTCCTTGCAGAAGTAAGTAATGCTAAACTTACTTTTTTTCGTACCAAGGTGTTTTCCTTTTTTATTTGTCTATACTTGCCTTTCATTTGTCTATACTATCATATACTGTTATATGAATATTAAAATTAGCTTCGATTTTAAAATATAATTATTAAATAATAAATTTAAAACGTTCTATAATGAAATACGTCATTGCATTTCCGTCTCACTGACGTGAAAACTTAAAAATAATTTACTTATATTTGAATGTGATATCATTTGTATTTTGCAATAATAAGATAAATATTTTATTTCTTAACAAATTTATTATCAATATCCACTCATTTCTGTCGTTTTTCGTGCCAAAAACGGTAAAATAACAGATGTCGTTAAAAATACGACGCGCGCGTACTCATGTAAAATTGTCAAGCGCACGTGCTGGAAAGTGAAGTAACTTAAAAGTTGCAACAGTCATTCGTGAAAGTTGGGGTTATAGGAATATTTTTATAATTTTTCAAAGCCATAAAACTGAAGAAATCTCCAATACCCTCGCCTAGTTTCGAACTCCGGATGTGCTTTCCAATCACACGACGAAGTAACGCGGTAAGAAAGGGAAAACTACCTTACAAGTTTACATGACTCGTGTAATTAGCAGACAAGTCATCGCTTCTAGAAAGATTAACAAAACATAAAAGTCAAGGTAAAACTTGACTAGTTTAACTCTGCAAGTCGCAAGGCAAGGTCCCCGCTTACATGTTGGATCAATTACGGCTAACAAAATGCTAAAGCTGATTCAGATCTAGAAGCTGGGCGCTAAATATTAACTAACAAAATGCTAAAGCTGACTTTAACATATATCTATTAACTAACAAAATGCTAAAGCTGATTCTAATGTATATCTATTAACTAACAAAATGCTAAAGCTGATTCTAATATATATCTATTAACTAACAAAATTCTAAAGCTGATTTTAATATATATCTATTAACTAACAAAATGCTAAACCTCATTCTAATATATATCTATTAACTAACAAAATGCTAAAGCTGATTCTAATATATATCTATTAACTAACAAAATGCTAAAGCTGATTCTAATATATATCTATTAACTAACAAAATGCTAAAGCTGATTCAGATCTACAATCTGGGTGCTAAATATATATATCTATTAGCTTCAAGCTATAGTATATCCAGAAGCTGAGCGAAAATAGTTTGGAGACGGTCAGCGGTCATTGACAAGCGTTTTCTCTTAACTTCAAGAAACTGTTCCTATATTCGTTAACTAATTTGCGACCTGGTGACTTCCAATGAAAGTAGAAGTGACAGTAAAAAAAAAATAAAAATAAAAATAAAAATAATAAAATTTTTTTTTAAAATTCTGAAAGCTTTTAGATTTCGTATTACGCTCACAGCGGCCTTTTTTTTAACGTGTTGCGTGTTACCTTTATTTATTTAATAAATATCATGTACTTAAACTATAAAATTCAGTCTAACAGCAATATCGCAAAATATTTAAAAGAGCATAGCTTTAGAATTTCCAATGCACAGTCTCGCGCGCTGGAAATAGAATTTTTTTTTCCCTCCACAACGTTACCATTAAAAATGTACGTGTTTTTATATATATGCGTATATAACGGTTTAATGTTTGTTTCGGAATATTAAGGATTACTTTACTGTTCCAATAAAAATTCGATCTAGTCAGATGGAAGTTACTGATGGTTGGAAGATACATGAAATGTGTGGTTTACAAATTATTCTGCAGATTGATAATCAGAAACTTTTAAGTGATAAAAAGTTAAATCATCTAATATATAAAATGTATCTGCGGGAATTAAAATCCTCAAATAAAGCTTCGGAAACAATGGTGGCAAGAAAAAGTATTGGGCAGATTCTAAACTGCCCCGTCCTTTTTTAAGTTCGAATAACTTTAAAGTTTAGCACAAAAACTCGAGCACTAGTGTTGCCATTGCTCGCTTTGAAATCGTTGTGTTTCTTAATTAGAAACTCGTAATTGACGCAAAATGCCGAAACGAAATGAAAAGCAATTATGGGCTAACAATAACGGGTTAATAAACATAAAACCCTACACATTTGTTTTCATATCCTGTTCCCAGGGATTTTACTATATCCTCGGATTAACATTAAAGCGTTTAATTAAATTTAAAAATCATACTCAGGTTTTATGTTTTGTTAATTTTTCCTTTAGTAAACAATGGCGTAGGAACTCTCGTTTAGTACTTACCAATTCAAGCAATATTTTTTTAATGAAATATAGTTAGTTCACAATAACACTGCATACAAAAAATTGAATAGTACGTCGTGACCTGTATATGAGACGAAATTAGGAAACGAGACATTATGTAAGACGATTCATAGTTCCACTGGACATTTGTTAGGAGTTATAAATGGTAGAGAGTTTCCTTTTGAACAACTTTTGATTAATATCATATCACCTACTGCCCTACTGGCTATTTTAAAGCGTGAAATGAATTAATTAGACATGCGCCACGTTACCTCGTTGAATGTCAAAACTCATACCACTGAACACACCAAAATTTTCTGAACGTCGTTGCAGACGAAAAGACGTAAATTCTGTTAATTCCAAAACAAATATGTAAAATTCCAAATGGAAATCGGTATGATATTCTCTGACAACTTATTCGGAATAAAATTAAAAATTCTTAAAAATTCTTCTTTCGGAGTTAACACTCATTATCTCTTTCTATGACATCAAAAGATGTGCTGCATAAAGAATTCGTGTCCAAATGTTACAGTTTCTTTTCACTTAGATAATCTACAACTTGTGTATGTCTAGTATGACAGCTTACTGTTTTGATTATGTAATAAATCATGCAGAAAATTACCACGAAGATTTAAAAAAGGGTTTCTTCAACTGCCTTAATTGTTTCGCATACTTCATAATCATGCAGAGCTGCGTGATAAGGTATAATTTAATGCAATTATTCTGTTCTCTTATCGAACATCAACCTCATTTTCAGATTGCCACAATATGTTATAAGGTATTTCTCCATCCTTCTTAGCATGTTTTCATGGTGTAATGGCCAGCATATTTGAGAGGTCCAAGGTTTGAGTCCTGGCAAAGTTTGAGTCCTGAAGGCACTGCTCATTTTTCATGTCTCCTGCTTTGAAATATCCTAATGTCTCTACAGTGTAAAATGTAAATCATGGTTGAAAAAACTTACATGGGATTGAAAGCAGTTTAGTCAAAAAATATTATCACTCTAGCAATTGCTATAAAAATTTTTCCTCTTGTATAAGCGAGTTCTATATTTTACATTCCACCTTCTCTGTTAGTAAACGAGAAAAAGCTCTTAATAATTTTAAACTAATTCAGGGAGTGCTTTAATAATTATTAACTAATTTAGGGCGTGCTTTTTGCCATTTGCTTTAGCTTTTTTCGTTCATAATATTCTTTCTCTTTTATTTTGTTTTAGTTTAAAAATTATTGCCTGAAATGATTTGTGTACTAAAGAGAAGGCTACTAAAAACTAATAATAAGACCATTGTTACTGAGCAAATGATAGGAAAAAATATCATTTTAGTCCAATGAAGTAATCTCATATTGCATCAGGAGAAAAAATATCAGCAGAGAGAAGTAGATGTAAAAGAAAGTAGTTGATGAAAGTAGATGTTTCGAAAATAGATATAAGATGTATTTGTTTTATCTGTATGCTACATATATTGCTGTTCTCTGAAACGGCAAACCTAGAACGATTTATCACATAGACAAGAGATGCAGCAAACCTGTTATTTACGAAATGTAAATAATTACAAATTCAACAGGTCGGTTGAAATGTCGACTGAAATTGGACGCGTTGGATATAAAAGAAGGCCTTAAAAAGAGAATCTTGAACAGCGTAACGGTGCATTTGATCGATATTCTTCTGCAAGTGTACAGACATATGTCTTGGCGTAAAACGAGATATTATGAACAGCTGGTGGACTTGAGGGGTCATCAGATTTCTTGAGAATAGTTTCTCGTATCGGGTTTTGCCAATACGATTATGCTGTCTGGAATTGAGTTGAGTTGAGTTGAGAGCAGAATCTGGACACCCGTGCGGCTTACTAAGACTATTCGGGTCTAGTCCAAGTTCCGCAACTATCTGGGGCAACACCTCATGGGGCCTATAAGGGCATACATTGGTCCTGTATACATGCTTACATAGTTCATAACATATGCTTATAGTTACATACAGGGGTTGGACAAAAATATGGAAACACCTTTAAAAAAACATGTTTCTTTGCTTAATATGGTGTAGGAAACCCGTTGGCATCCAAAACAGCTCGCAGTCTTCTCGGAATGGATAAATACAGTTCCTGTATGTTTGCCAAGGGAATATTATACCATTCTTCCTGCAAAACTGTGGCAAGTTCAGATAACGATGTCGGCGGTGGATAACGAGAACGCACTTTCCGTTCCAATGTAGACCACAAAGGTTCGATAATATTCAGGTCTGGTGACTGTGGTGGCCAGGGGAGATGGGACAACTCATCCTCGTGCTCAGAAAACCAGTCCTGGACAATGTGAGCTGTGTGAACAGGGGCTTTGTCGTCTTGGAAGACACCATCACCATCGGGGAACAAAGTTTGTACCATGGTATGAACTTGATCGGCCAAAATGTTCACATGGTAGTCATGTGCCCTGACACAGTTATCATGGGGCTAGCAGAGAACCACGATATGGCTGCCCAAACCATAACAGAACCCCCGCCGCTCTTCACTTGGCAACAAGTAGTCTGTATTATAGGCTTGAGATGGCGTTCTCCAGACGTAAACTCGGCCAGAAGTGGGAAACAATGTGAAAGAAGACTCGTCGGACCATATTACTCGCTTCCACTGCTCTATAGTCCAGGCTTTATGACTTAAACACCACCTTTTCCTGTTACGGGCCTTGGCATCACTGATGACTGGCTTCTCAATTGCAGCACGGCCAGCAATTCCCTGTTATGAAGCTCCTTTCTAATTGTTTTGGTACTCACAGGGTTCGTAACACAACATTCATTTCAGCAGTACTTTTGCAGCTGTGGTCTTCTTATTTTTCGTCACAATTGCCCCCTTAATGATCGTCTGTCACGATCCCTCAGGACACACTTTCGTCCGCGCTGTGATTTAGCAGATGATGTTTCCGCTTTTAAATATGCGGAATAAATCTTCGATACAGTACCTCTTGAAACACTAAACACCTCGGCTGCCTTGCTTACGGAAGCACCTACCATACGGGCTCCAACAATTTGCCCACGTTCGAAGTCTGTTAACTCTGACATAATGCAATGACAGCCTCACATAACAGTACTCCGACAACAACTGAACTGTTTAGCACATTCACGAAGTTGTATAGGTGGCGTCAGTAGTCAAAAACGCCAGCGCCACCTACATACTTCATTAAAATCAATCTTTCTTTTCAAACATGCATTTCACAAGGTGTTTCCATATTTTTGTCCATCCACTGTAGTTCATAATATATGCTTACATAGTTACATAGTTCATAGTACATGATTATATACAAGTAGTTCATAATACATAGATCTTTCATTATACTTGCTTACATAGTTCATACATATACATGCTTACATAGTTCATACTTGTTACATAGTTCATAATATATTGAGCCTGTTACATCATACATATATAGTTCATAATAATTTTCGTTCACCATAGTACATACATGTTTCATAATATATACAGTGAGCCCTAATACATACATGTTTCATAATATATACAATAAAAAAAAGGTAGAAGAGAGATTGACAGGGAACTATTCCACACTGCACAAGTCTGTTCCCAATTCCTCCAGTTTCTGCATTATCTTGCATATTTTGATGCGAAATGCTGGCTGTTTGATCAGATAACGCTTATGAGAAGTTGCCTGTTCCTGTTCCGGAAGCTGCACATGCCACTGTGCGGTTAGAGGGCATTGGGTCAAGTAATGGTCTGGTTTACCAATGCCTCCACAGACACAACTTTCGGTATTTGCAATTCCTCTCTCATAGTAATAGGAGGGGAAAGGCCCGTGCCCCGTCACAAATCTCGTTATTTGTGGGGATGACTTTGTGGGGAGACGATCGAGCGAAACTTTATGGTAATATTCATAGGTCTTCCTGCTTTGTTCGGTAGAGTCCCATTCCTTGCCACTGGTGCTGAGCTGTGTCCTTGTCACTTTTTTAAGGTGAGACCACGGGAGTTTTCGTAATTACGCATTGTGCATCGATATTGTGAGCTGCTTCTTTTGCTAGCCTGTCGGCTTCCTCATTACCTTGAATGCCGGCATGCGCCTTTATCCAAGATATGAGGATATTCATTGTCGACGAACGCTCCTTCAGCGTGTCCTAAATCTCTGCTATAATAGGAGAAGGATGTCTCCTATCATAGCGGAGGCATATATGACCATATATAAGGCATATATGACCGAGAGGCTGTCTGTTATGCTGTCTGGAGATAATAGAGGGAATAAGGTTGGCGAAGGGAACTGGAGCACCTAGAACTGTATCAGAACATGAAGATACATCTGATACGCGTGGCGGTAATTGGCCGTAACATTAATCAAAAGAGTTCTGACTTCTTTGGGCTCTCTACTATAGATGTTAGCATCTTTAAATAGTGCAAACAGCGAAGACATTGGAATGTTGAATGGATGTAAATCCTTTTTTCGACCAGTCTCTGTGCAGTGTCTGAATCCATGATGGCTAAACCTTCGTTTCCCACTAGAGAAACGGCATATGGAAGGATGCATTTCAGAGAACCGTATTAGTCCTAAAGAAGACATCATGAGTTGGAGTGGTATCACATTTTCGTCACGAATCATAAACACTTTGATCAATCATTGGTACATCACTGAAATTTGCCTCTCCTTACGGAGCATCCATTGTTTAAATTGCATCAATGCTGTCATGTACAGTGGATCTATTGTCTAAATTACTGGTGGTAATTATATTCAATTGAGTTAACTATCCAAATTTTCAAAAGAAGAAAATTTAACAAGCTATCTAAATTGCAGTACAACTCCAATTATCCGAATCAACTGGGACCGGACCCCATTCGGATAATCAAAAATTCTGATACTTGGATTTTTTCCGGAGAGAGGGTCTATGTAAACTTTTTAATTACTGTATAAGTTCGCTTTATAACATGTACGGTACGCTTACTGTATGTACTGCATGTTGAAAATGGAAAAAAAAATATTTTTTAAAGAAAATGAGGTTTTAATTATGTAAAATGAAAAGGTAACACTTTTACGTACATGTTATAAAGCGTACTGTACAGTACTTACAAGTGCTGAAAGTCATTGCTTGCTGAACATCTTGGTCAAAGTAAGCTGTTTGACTGTCTTCATCCGTTTTCGGGCAGCCAAGTCGCACGGCCGCTTAGCAACAAGATATTACATGTGGTCACACTCGGGCTGACGCTCCATCCACTTCAATCATGGAGGTAAGAATGAACTTACTTCTTACATGCATGATTTTAATGCAGCTTCAAGACCGACAAATGCTTCATTAGCTGAAGGTCCCGTTGTCTCTGCTTCAACTTCGACATTAAAGTCATCTTCTTTTTCGACACTTTCTTCTCTCACACTTTCAATAAGTTAATCATCATTTAGAATTTGAAACCGAGGGTCTGACGAATCACACACCATATATTCTGCTGTATCCTCAGCACTAATTTCTGAACATCCAGGAATTTTCAAAAGAACGTTTCTTAATTGCTCAAGTGACACGTCATCCTCATCTTCTTCTGTCTCTTCCCTTTCCTTGTCTTGAGCATTTCTTCCTTTTTCCTTCTCTTTTTGAAATTCTGAAATTGTTGTTTCTGAAACTGTTGTTTCTGTTGATTCTGAAAAATTCTGAAAGCGATTTGGATAGTCGGAGTTCGGATAATTGTAATTGAACTGTATTTGCATAAAATTTAATGGATTAAATGGATTAATAGATAAAATAAAACGGCAAAGTATAATTTTGACCGCCAACTTTCGACAGCATGTAATAATGTGCAATTTAAGTAGTTTTGGCTCTCTAAAAGTTTCCGGATCATGAATAAGAAAAGTGCAAGAAGCAAATTTATCTTCATTTTATTGATAAGCTTATAAGGTATTTCTCCCGCCTTCCTAACGTGCCTTCGTGTAGTGGTTCTGCACGCTGGGCCGGTATTCCAGAGGTTAGTGGTTCGATTCCCGGCGAAGGCGATTACTCAATTTTCATCTAGGTCTCTACAGTGGCGCTCGAACTAAAAGGGTGTTGGATGATGATTCTCCGCCCGCACCCAGGATTTGGCGACTGGGTTCCCTAAAAACCCCAGTCGCCCTTTAAAAGGGGGGAGTATATAAGGTATTTCTCCCACCTTCCTAGTGTAGTGCTTCTGCACGCTGGGCCGGTATTGCAGAGGTCCATGATTCGATTCCCGGCGAAGGCGATTGCTAATTTTTCATGTCTCCGGCTTTCCCAATTAATCTAATATCTCTAGAAGCTGTAATAAATATATACATTCATGTTTATATTTCGTTTAACCTAGTCATCCAATATACTTCCATTTTGTTTAATAATTATACTTTCAATTATAAAATAAATTTTAACGTAAGGTAAATGTATCATAAATTATAATTTTCAGAAAAAATTCTGAAAATTAATAATTTTTTTTTTCTTTAAATAGGTAACTCCACAGCAAAAGATGTTTTCTCTGTGGAGATAGCAGACGAGACGGCAACGACGAATGACTGTCCATTTGGTAAATCAGAAACAATGGTGACTATTACTGTTGATGCCACACTTACAGATTTGCAGCTGTCTGAAAAACTACGTATGCTACACTCAGTTTCGTCTTTACTCAATGTACCCGAATCAAGGTTTCAGTTGTTGTCACTTCATCGGGAAGACAGCTCTTTCAACCCAGATGCTATTCGTGCTGGTCCTGGGAACGCTCTTCAACGAAATTACGAAGGAATGTTAATACAAATGCCCGTAGGTTGCGAAGGTCAAATTTTGTCAGCGTTTGAACCTGTATTGACAAATATAGAGAAAACCGCTGCTAACGGTGAACTCGCAGACTTGATTGGTTATATGATTGTTGGCTGGCAAGTGTCTGGCGCTAACTCAGTAACACAAATGAGAGAAAAGCGTAATGTTACTCCGTTTCGCGTCACACCTGTCCCAAAAATGCATATAACTCGATGGCCAACCATTACAGAAAGGATTGATGAAGATGAAACTAGGGAAGTGGTGCCAGAAGTAAGAATTATCCCTACTATGTCTTCTCCATATTTCGCCGTCCCGTCAACATACGATCACAAACATAGGCATCATCATGGCCAAGATCCACTCAGACGGACACACATTTTACCTACCACTGAACTGTTTGCTTCTCCTACCTATCGTTATCACACTCTCCCCACACAGAAGCATGAATTCAGTGGAACAGCAATGCCGACACCAGTGCTGTATCCAGAAAGACCTACATCTGCTATTATACCCACTAGAATTTATGACATCGACGGGACTATTACAATCAAAAGACCACGCCCACCTTATGCTTCTGAGGATATTTTGTCTCGGTGGTATGTCACAACTACAGATTTTGCAACGGTGGATATTAAACCTACAAGAAGTCGGTCGACTATTGAGCCTACGAAGCATATGCCGCAGGCACCAAATTTCAAGCCAACTGTTAATAGCAGAACAAAGAAGCTTTCCTTAGTTGCAGGAAAAGCATGGAGTTATACTATACCTATTGACACTTTCATTGATATGGAAGATGGTAATACTCGAGATTTGAAATTAATGTTTTTGACATCTGAACGTACATCGTTGCCTTCTACATCATGGATTCAGTTCGACCCTGAGCATCAAGTGATATATGCATTGCCAATGAGTGAAAATATTGGTAAACATGAGTATATTTTAGAAGCCATGGACAGTGAGGGAGCATCTACATTCGACAGAGTGCAGTTACATGTATGGCAACATCCGCTAGAGAAAAGTTTAACGCATTCCTTTACAATGACCGTAAGATACAGTAAATTTCAATATCCTGTTGGTATAGATTGGCAGATTGAAATATTAAATCGATTATCTAAGTTATATAAAGATCCAGATAATTCAAAATTAAGTGTCTGGAATGTAACGCTGGATCCAACTAAAATAACCTGGGCAAATGACACTCTTCCCACGGATCATTGCCCTGTAGAAAAGATATTGCAACTTTACGATGTTTTCTCAACGCCTGATAATTATCCAACAAAGGAAATGAAAAAGGTTATGGTACCTGAATTCAAAGTTCAAGACTTCAGAGTGAAATACAAAGGTGTTTGTCACGGCGTAATCACGACTCCTCCTCCTCCGCGCAATTCTCTGCCAATTCTTAGAAATCCGATAAGAGAAATAAATGTTTCTGTAGGAGATATTATAAAATATAGAATACCCGAAAATACATTCCACGATTTTGAGGATGGCAGCACTCGCCACCTCCAGTTAACACTTCTTACGTCGGACAACGTGCGTCCTTCTAAATCGTATTGGTTGCAATTTGATCCTCGCAATCAAGAAATTTACGGTCTGCCTTCTGAAGAAGAAGTAGGCCGACATGATTTCTTGCTCACCGCCATGGATAGCGATGGTCAAACTGTCCCAGATTCTTTCATTATTCATGTACTCCGAATGCCTTCTTCTGAAAGACCTCCAGTGGAATTCAGTATTCGTTTAGACTATGATTTCGAGGAGTTTGCAAGCGACACCAGTAAAAAAACTTTAGTTGCATCGAAAATAGCAAGACTGTATGGAGACCCTGATACTCAGTACATAATTGTCACAAACATAACTGGTGGTTCAACTGTGTACGCATGGAGCAACAAAACTTTGCCAATACTTCATTGTCCCAAAGAAAAAATAGATAACTTGGTAAAATACATCATCACTGACAACGGTACACTTTCTTCGAGTCTTACAGAAGTCATGGAACCCGAATTCAGAGTTATAAGTGCTGACGTTGTACCACTGGGAGCGTGCTTAAAAGGAATTGCACCAACTTTTGTCACGATAACTACGACTACAGAGCCAGAGTTACCAGAGGATTTAGAACCAACTATAAAGACGTCGCGAGATGAGGATATTTATATAACTACAATAGTTCCTGCCATCGTTATTGCAGTCATGTTAGTTATTGCAGCTATAGTAGCTTACTTTTTGTACTGGAAAAAGAGGAAAGGCAAAATGAGCTTAGGAGATAAAGATTTCATCGGAAGCGGAGTTCCTGTTGTGTTTGCTGGAGAACTGGAAGAGCAAAAGCCAGATCCAGGAAAAACTCCAGCGATTATGAAAAATGAGAAACCTCCCCTTTCGACAGACCATCTAATCAACCCATTCAGGAGAGGCACAGCTGCTGTCCGAGATTCAGCTCCTCAAACAGCGGCTAAGACTCGAGACGGCCCCTCTCTCAGAGAACGCAAAGACACCTCCACCCTTTACAAACCTCCACCACCTTTCGCATCTAGTAGAGAAGCAAAAGGTACACGTCCCAAAAGTACCCAAGCATACAGGCATGCTACGTACGTCCCACCTTAAGTAGCCTATCGAAGCCTTACATTTTGTAAATATTCCCTTTTCCAAAGGAAAACTGGTAGAAAAGTTTCCTGCTTTGTGATAACTAGATACAATACGATTATGAGAAGCCTGAAATCTTTAATATGGCACGATTAAATCACCTGTCAGGAAATAAGTGATAGCGTGTAGTTTTTAAATCGTGTGCTATAATTGTATTATGATTTTGTGCTTTTTGAATGCGAGTGTAAAATAACTGCAGTACATTTTGAAGCATTATACTCCTTAACGGCGGTTGCAAAATTATGAAAAAGCAATCATTTTATTTAGGTGTTATTAACCGTCGTTATTATTTATAACAAAAGGTGCTATATATGAAATGCTATTTAAATCAATTTGCTGCTGAATGAGTGACGTCTCCAGGGCAAATGCACAAATGTGAAAAATTAAAAGTGTTCAACCTACTCATATGTGGATATTTTCATTTTCATACATTCACTAAAATAAAAATTTGCGCCTATATCAGAACTTCTATGCCGAGATAAATACAAACACCTTATACACGCTCTACTATTATGCTACAGTTTAAAATGGAAGTTCAGAAGTGTTCCATCTCATAATATTTCACATTGCTTCTGAATTCCTGTTAGCTTTGAAGAAATCCTCTTCCTAATAATGTTTTATTCAACTTGTAAACATATTTATCTACTATTTATATGTGCTCCCAAGGCTAATGTTTTAGAATATTATTGCCAAAATTTGGATTTACATGCATAACTGTGAAATTTGAAAAACACCTGAAAATCATTCTCTTGCAATAATTTATGGTGCTTATGAACTATTAGGCGTATTACATATTTAAATTTTTCCCTTCCCTCATCAGTACGGTTTTGATAAATATATATAACTGCAAACCAAAATACAATAATGAACTCTTTCTTAAGTTGTATTATAAACTTTTGTGTGTAACTAGACAAATTTAAAATGCCTTTTAGAAGTCAATTCTACTTCTGGTTCATAAAGTTGGACTACGCATACGCTTGTCTCTATTATGTGTACAAACATAAATCTGTAAAAAAGAAGTTTCTTTGCTAAATGGCAATTCTTGAATCAGCTTCACGAATCAATCGTCTGCTAAGAATACCGCTTTATCTTTCACGAATTATTAGCAAGTAAAGAAAAGACGTGAGTATTACTGAACTCAAAGCATTGAAAATATTGATTTGGGAATAGACGGGAAAAAAATTAGTAAGAAAACCGAAAAACACAAAGTTCTATTCTAATTACCCATGCGGTAGTAACAAGGGTGTAGCTTTAAAGAGCTGATTGTATATAAGACATGAATGTGACCAGTTACTGTCATTTCCCTCTCACGTCAAAAATAACAACGGAAATAAAAGTGAATATATGTAACACAATGATCAAAATAAGGAAAGATGCAGAGTTCGAATGCCTGCGTTTACTTTACAAGATACTACTTTCTTAATTTTCGCGTAGGTCACAAACGAAATGTTTGTTCTACTTGGAAATGAGATGGTTCATTCCTAACAAATTCGACTCTTTTCTTGAATATGAAATCATTGATTTTCATCGAATTCTGATTTTTGCGTTTATCACAATTAAAATACACAAACTTTTTAACTAACTCTTTATGGTCAACTCTGAGAGGTCCATGGAAGCAGCTGTCAAGTGGTCCTTCAAATCGTATTCCTCTTTTTCTTTTGAATGTGCTATGCTATTCAAGCCAAGTGTTAGCTAATATTTAGCATTTTTATTTAGCTTATGTCACTGTATATACCTGTGTGTGCAAATGCCAATTATTTTCATGCAACAATATCAATTATTTTTCAATTAAATGTGTTGTTAAAAATTGCTATATGTACTTAAAGGACACTATATTGAAGTTAAAAATGTACAGAAGTTTAAAGTTGTTGCAAATGTAGATTTATCGTAGTTTAAAAATCCTGAAAATGTACATATAGATTGAGTGTTCCACTTGGGTTATGTTTTTGAATTCAACCTGTTTGGGTAAAACCGTAGAATATTGTCCGATTGGTGCTATTCACATACTGATGATTCAATCATTTGTTATAAAATGCAGGTGAAATGTTTAGATGCACCTGTTTCATGCCAAAAAAAAAAAATTATGAGAGAAATTGAAAGAATAAAGTAGATCTTTAATGGTCTGGCAGTTTGGTGGTATTTTTTTTCATATTTGGTAATGAGTAATGTTGCCGAAACGAACCGGACAGTATTCTTCAGTTTTGCTGCTGTTGAATAGTATTTTTATTATAAGGTGTGTTCATTCATGTTGGTTGTACTCCTCTTCTTAGAATTATTTTATATTAGACATGTGATTGTATTTTACTTATCAAATAGGATAAGTAGAAGTTACGCTTTTGTACACTGTACATATATGCTGTATAACGCAAAGCTGTAGGCATCTTAATTATATACAAACATTTTCCAATATTTTGTTAAATCTAGGTAGGCAAACTTAATAAATTAAAATAAACTGAAATTATAATATTAAAAGATTACAAAAGTATGTTTGTAATGCCCTCGTTTAATCTCCATCTAATAAATAACTCTCTCACAATAATACCATTAACCATTTTTTGTATTATTGAAACCTTTAACCTTGCTGTTTACAACTTCTAGATTCGTAAATAGGACATGACAGCAAAATTTCTTTAAAAATTTGTTTTTAATTGGAAGTATGCTTGTATATCCCGTTTAAAAAACTTCCTGAATTTAATTAACTTTTTTTTTTTTTTTTTTTTTTTCAGTGAAATAGAAATTACATCCGTTGATCAATTATATTTTTAATTCTACTTTCCTGAACATAATTCGGATATTTCGAATATTTTTATAAGTAATCACCGTAATTAATAAAATCCAAATACTATCATCACTAAAATGGCATAACACTATAACCAGAATACAAGTTATATTCAATCCTTTCACATATCTTTCAGCAATTCAGTTTAATTAACGATTTTTAGCCGCGTTTTTATTCTTTGAAAAATTACTCTCGTTTTACTGTGTTTAAGCACTCAGTTACGTATCCTGGCACAACTCATCTACATTATGAATAAGCAATAAAATTTTGTATATAATATCCAGAAAGAAAAGAATAAGGTATTTTTTTCATTAACTACTCCTCAGTACACTTTTTATTCCTATCACCGACAGCATATAACAAATAAAAACATGTAGCTGATAACACTGGGATCTTGAAAATAACAAACAAACAAGAGCACAAAAGAAGGAATTTGTCTATATATTTCTTGACCCCCAAAACCAAGAAATTTCATTCTTCGGAATGAAACAGCAGTTTCCTTGTCCAGCTTTAGATCACAAATTGAGCAGAAAAGTTCGGTTAAATCCAATACAGTGCAAATGAGTGATAATACAATCGTGTGATCTTGTTTGACTGCCATTATTTTTAACCGAAGTTTATCAAGCGCATTTCTCAGATACTTCTTCGTGTAATATTTATGGCTGTTTCTACTTCGAAATGACAGCTAGTATTTAAAAAAAAAAAACCATAACACTTTACAAAAAGTAGCTGGCTGAATAGTGAATAAGAAAAGATTCATGGTTCGCACATTGTAAAAATTTGGCACACTATTATGGCAAAGAAATCTGTTTGCGTAATACTTTTATGTGTACGTATAGCAAGCCCGTTGCAAAAGGATGTGCTTATTTGTTAACTTCAAATCTTGCTGGAAGATGGCTCAATAGATGTCGAGGTCACAATGAAACTAAGGTGGCAGCGAAATGTTAACATAAATGTAACATGTGAAGCCAAACAACTCGGGGACTCTGCTAATTTAAGGCTCCATATTTTGGCTAATCTATTCTTATTCTGGACTCTTATTAAAAGACTTGGAGGCTCATGATTCTGTTAAAAAGGCTCAGAACTGAAGGGCTGTTTGCAAATTTGAGAGTAATATTTATTACCTTACAGATTTCTACTAACGAATCAACACGTTTGAGAGTATTGTGAAGAACTTCCACCTCACAGTCAAAAAAAGTAATATCGAGTTTCTCGTCTAGACAGCGCAGGATTCACGTATAAGCTGCACAAGCTATAGCTTAGGCCACCCCCCCCAAAAAAAATTTCAAATACAGTATAAATATAGTATAACAGACGTATAAAGAGACGTATAACAGACGTATATCTCAAATAGCTTGGGGCCTTATCAAGCCTAACTCCAGCTCTGCGTTTAGATCGTATAAAGTAAGTAACCAAGACAAGATCCCCAGCACCTGCATTCATATGTTTATCAAACCGTAATCCATTTGTATGCACATATATGTAACCTATCATCTTCCTTGTATTTAATGCTAACAGCTTACAAACCTCGGAACCTTTGTCTGAGTATCCTTTTTATTAATCTTTTCTTTTTTTAGCAAGACACGTGTATTTACTCGCACAATAATTTATTCCTATTATTTCTGGGTTTCTGTAGCGAGTGATAATTTATGGAAATTTGGAAATTTTTCCTGCTATCCAGAATTTTTCAAATAAATTTGATTCGGATCTTAATATTTCAAGGTTTAATTTGATAATTTTTCTAAGCAAGGACTATAAAGCTTGAGAGTTTTTATATAAAATTAAAGCTTCTAATTATTCTACTAATTTTAAAGAGGTTTACTTTAAGTCAATAACAACATTGCATTATGTAATGTGGATGGCATTGTCTCAATAATTATGTTTAATATCGAATTCATTCCCTCAGTGTTATGTATGAAAGCAGTTAAAAGGGTCTAGATTATTATATCAAAAGACGAAAGCTTCTACATATTGTTAACAAATGTACAAATTCTATAATTTTCTTATTCAATCTGCTATCAGTTTTAATCGTTTCCCTAACTCGACGCTTCGCTTATGTATATACATACACCATAGAGACTTAAATTTTGCATGAAAATACAATGTCATTAATTGATTGGTTTAATCTATCTGTGCTAAATAATCCTAAGTGGTGTAACTGAAATCTGAATAACACCGTGCGGTGTTTTAGTAAGCGTTAATATGCGGAAAATTGTCTTTCTTTGTGTAATTGGCAGAATACACTGTCACTAAATTGTGATTGGTTTAATCTAATCTATCTGTGCTAAATAATCTGAAGTGGTGTAACTCAAATCTGATTAACATCATGTAGTGTTTTAGTAAGCGGTGATATGCGGAAAATTATCTTCTGTAATTTGCAAAATCCAGAAAACAAATTACATACATTAATTATTCATTCAGTAGACATCAACTTGCATAAATTCACAAATAACTACCTCTTCCCCTCAAAAAAAGTATATTTAAATGACATCCAACATGCAACTGAAAGAATTTCTTCCATGCTCAAAACACACTGGTGTAAAATTCAGATTAATATATATAGGTTATATTTCATTGTATTATCATAAAGAATGTAACAGATTAATTTTGAATGCTTCTGTAAAGAAATGCCAGAACAAATTTAAGGTATTTCAAATGTCTTTTTTTAAGCAAGTCATGAAAGAATCAATGAAAATGTGTATTCTGTTCATAACCAATATTCATGATTCATTAAGTATTTACAGTCTGTGAATTTATTTTAAAGAAAAAGAGTTTTAAAAATTCTGAATAAATTGTATTGCAACTGACAATTTTGTTTTCATTTTATTTGGCAAATAAAACATAGATAACCCTAATTACTTTTTGCAATTAAAAAAACATTGTAATATATCTTTCATATTAAGAAAGGGTAATGATCAAAATAACTATAGGAAATTAAATATTGAAATATGTTTATTATTTAATATTTAATTTCCTGCAGCTGAAGTACATTCAATTTTCTGCAGTAATTTGACATCAGTACCAAAAAACAAAAAGCGAATTGCCCAAATAATATATATGAACACAATTTTTGAGGTATGCGCCTAACAACATCTACTTTTTAAATTCATGTAAAATATATTAACTATATTTCAGTTACATTTTTAATCGACTAAGATTATACAGTTTTCCCAATTTTAATGCAATTGATACGAAAGGTAAAAATAAGAAAGCTAGTTTCAAGAACTAAATTGAAAAGCAGCGTAACTGATGACAAAACCTGGCTTTACCATATTCTGCGTGTACAAATTTTTAGGTTTCGTATAAAATCGAAAGTTAAAGAGAACAATATTATTACTTCTTAGTCTTTAATACACACACACACACACACTGCTCGTAAAATTAAAGGACGATCTGAAAAAATATGCTCATTTATTAAAGTTTTCAACTAATGTCCAATGGCGTAATTATCAGTGCTTATTATTTGCAACTGAATGCAAAACTGGACCTTCTGCGCATAGATTAGCTCATGAATTATATGAATGAGGTGACTATCAATGGGTTGTACATTTAAAAAGAGCACATTGTAATCGAAATGTTTACTGCTGCTTAAAGTTAATGTGGTTTCTGAGAATGATCAGTATTTAGTACGACTCAAAGCTATCATTAAGATACAACAACACGCCGAACAAATATTAATTTAGAAGTCAAACAGAAAAAATCAGCGTTATATTTTCACAGGACTGGACTATTTCGATGGATTTACCGAACCATCGTCCTCAGCTGCAAAAGCGCAAAATATAATGCTGAATTTTTGTTGTTTGACTTCTAAATCAAAGCTATCATTTAACTAAAGGGCAAAAGTGGCGATTAACTGGTAGGCCTAGAGGGGAATATAGATGGAAGTTGCCCAAGGTCTGAATATCCCTCAAAGTGTCATAGCATGGTTTGGGAACCGCTTTTTAAACACCGAATTAGTTAAGAGTCTGTCAAGGGCAACGACTATAACCGAAAACTGCTTTCTGACGTTGTTGGCTCAAAAACTCGAATCAGCCGTTCTGCTGCTGCAGGAAGACTTTACGAGGTTGGACTTAATGCGAGGAAAAACGATGGTTTGTGCCCCGTTTTCCTTTTGTCTTCCAAAGGGGCTCAGTGGTGACGTCCTCACTTTCACTAAAGCCAAGAGAAATGGGACAGTGCACTGTTTACATATAAATTCAGATACAAATCGAGCTGTGATTTTGATCTGCAGCAATGGCCTCAAACTGCATGCAAGCCGAATGTACGATCTGAGAACAGTCGACAGGCCAGAATTTGTCAAACATTGACGTTATAAGGGACATATCAGACTGATCCGATCCAGACAAAGTGGAGTCTATTTATTCAGAAAGATGGCTAGGCCTCGAACAAAGAAGCAACTGAAAGGTATTCTAGGTCTATGCAATTATTACAGTGTTTATGTTCCACATTATGCAGAGACAGTTTATTAACTAACAAAGCTCACTGAAAAGAAAAGCGCCGAAGAACTGTCCTGGACGAAAAAACATAATGAAGCATTTTAAAGAAGTGTCTTACGAATACCAGTAGAGTGAAGTATAGTTGATTTATTTCTGGAAACCCACGTTATCGGCTCAGTTGAAATTCTGCCTTTTTCGGCTAACTACTGAAAGAGAAGCCTACGTTGTGGTTTGAAACTTGAAACTGTTCGAAAAATGGGTCTTTGGATCACTAAGAACTTCACTGACTTTCATCACTAAAAATGTTTAGTCTTCTCAGCTGCAACGATGAGCACCAGAATTACAGAAACATGATACTACAATTTCGCATTGTCCAGTATCATTTGGGCTTTCGGAGTTGGTTCTGCTCGCTGGATTTAGCTGTAGGGAAGAATCAAGGTTGCTCGCAGCTGAATTGTCTCTTCACTACGTTGGCAAGCTTTATGTTATCACGGGATGCCCCGCACCCTCAGAAACTTGATCTAGGAACTTTCCTTGTGGATAATGTTACGGATGCAATAGACGAGGATAGGATTATCGAAGCTAAAGATATTTCAGCTAAGCTACACAAAATTTCAGAATTCTCAACGAAAAACTTAAACAATGCCAAAATTGAGCTACTTCGCGAGACTGAGGAAGGAGTAAAAGCAGATACCTCTACTGAACACATAAAAACTTACCTTATCTTGAATGCTTACCTTTACTACTAACTTCTAGCATGACTATCAAAGTTCAAACGCGGTCAATACGACACTAACACCAAGTTCTAGCAAAAATTCACGCAATACGAAGGCGGCTGTTATAGATGAGAATGATTTTCAAAAGCCCAGACTCGCACACAAAAGAACTATTTCAAACTCAAGTAACGGCACGGGTCTTAAAAAATGAATTTTCAGAACTCAGCCCCAAGGACCAAATGGATCAGGAAGATAATAACTCGGACTCTGAATTTAAAAAACCAAGAAAACCCGCTACTCAAATTCCACCCATTGTTCTGGCGGATTTCAATGGCAAATGGGAAACGTTGAACAATAGATTGAACGTTTAGGAGTTCAAAAATATAAAGGCAACCTTAAGAGTTTTCAATACTGATGATTATCGAAAGATCACAGAAATGCTCCAGGATTGTGGTGTTCCATTTCATACTTTCTTGTTCAATTCAGAGAAGCCTATTAAGGCCGTGATTAAAAAACTCTCACGCATCAGTAACATTGAACTTATTCAGCAAGAATTAACAGAAAAGGGAATCGTTGTCATTAAGATGAGACAGATTACTAGTTTCAAAGATTGAAAAATCACTCCATTACCCCTGTTTCTGGCTGAGGTAAAACGAAACGCCGAGGGCAAAAGAATTTACAATATAGACACTGCGAGGTCTCGATGCTTTTATTGAGCCCTACAAATCCCGCACCGACCCAGTTCAGTGTCATAAATATCAGTGCTATGATCACACCCACGACCTCTGCCACTATAAAGAAAGATGTTTGAAATGTGCTGCACCTCACGAAACTTATACTTGCAAGCCAAAAAAAAAGCAGGAAGCTCCTGCCGTCTGCGCCCTTTGTGGAGGAAACCATGTTTCGTCTTACAAGGGATGTAGTAAATATTCGAAAAACCTAAAAAAGGACCTCCGAAGCTTAGATAACACCACTTCTGAAAAGAACCCAAATTTTAAATTAAATACAGAAGATTTTCCTGCGGGATCAGAAACCGAAAACACTCAAAAAGCAAATTCGGCATGGAGCAACAACAAGGACAAAATATCCAAAGAAACTTCATTTTTGGACTGTGTCAGGGTTCACTTATCAAAAGCAAAAGAATTTTTTATGAAATTTAAAACAGCTAAAAACATTATGGAGGAAACTGAGATTGGCATGAATGCCACAGAATATTTTATCACAATTGATTACCAATTTTAATGCTTCTCAGCAACTTAATGTTATGCAACGGCTACCTTCGTCCTTCGTATCTCTTATTTTAATGCAAATGCCATACGAAACGAGAAACATGAGATTTCGGACTTTCTTCAGAAGCACAACGTTGACGTCTTAATGGTAAATGCGACTCACTTACGAGCGTGCGATAACTTAAAATTCAAGGATACCATACTATCAGAACAGATCTCATGCACAACAGGAGTGGTGGCACCGCCATTTTCATCAAAAATTACATCAAACACTCAAGTTTCGGTCTTCCAGCTCCTCCCGGGTGGAATTTACTGCTGCAATAATCTCCCGAGAAAGACTGCCAACAAGTGATTTAGGCATTCTAAAATCAATTGATCTGTCTATTATCATCGCGGCCAACTTAAAGAATGCCAAGCATGCTGCCTGGAACTCGCGCGTCCCAAATATTAGCAGAAGGATACTCTATAATTACCAACTAAACTCGGATATAAAAATTATTGGCCCCCATAATCCTACAAGATATGATTACAGGGGCTCTGAAGATGTCCTTGACATCGTCATTTTGAAACACCTATCAATAGTTCCTCACCTTGAAGTAAAAGAAGAGTTGACATCGGACCATTATCCAGTAAATATTCCATTTCTACGGCTTTTACTCTCCACCTAAACTCACCCGCACCAAAATTAACTAGAAAAAAGCGACTGATCTCCTCAAAACTCTTCCTTGTAACTCTGCCTTGCAACATTGTTATGATGTGGAGAATGAAATTTACAAGCTCTACTCCAAAATTCAAGAAACCATTAAAAGTTCCTCTACTATGTTTGAAGATTCCCTAAATCTTAAATTACCCGACAACATCAATAAACTCATTAAAGAAAGAAAGAAATTAGAAAGCACTGGCAGCTCACATGATACCCAAGGATTAAGAGAGAAGTAAACTAGCTTTCAAGAAAAATTACGCGGGGGATATAGGAATTCAGGTCGGATAATTGGGATAATCTTTTACTCAACATGAATATCCAGCCGAATACAGTATGGAAGATCGCATGCTCCCTCAGAAAAGGCAGGACGATTCAAAAACATTAAATAAATCACATGCGCGATGTATATTACTCAGAACACAGCATCGCCAATATAACGGCAGATGACTTGGCCGAAACGTTTAAGCCACATCCTCCTGGAGATGCTGACCATGAAAATGAGATTAGTTACTCAATAAATAGCATCAAGAACAGAATCAGCATAAATTTCATCAAATTCACGTAGCTCGGAGAAATTAAAGAAATTATCAAGAAGTTAAAACTGCGTAAAGCCAGTCGTTACGGCAACATCAGCAATGATGCCTTAAAAGCTCTTCCTAGAAATTGTATAGTTCAACTTGTATATGTTAAAAATAAAATATGTGATCAGAGGGCGTGATCAACGGA